TGAAATATGTATTTCTACTTTTAATATTACAATGAATTGTAGGGAGATATAGTCTGTATTGGGAAAGTGTGTTCCACAAAGAATTTTTTTATTTAAACAGAGATATAGGGATTTATTGCTTTCAAACATTGTGCCTAATCGAGAAGCTACACAGAGTGTTTCGTGTTGCAATGATACATTTTGTTCTGTTTCTACTTTACTCTGAACTGTGTTTCTCTTATTTATTGATTAGTATTGATATGTTATTGTCACGAATTTTTGATTTCCCGATAAAGAGACACGAAAACATTTCTACGTAAAATTTAATTATTTTATAACGCAGCGATGCAGAGCCATTCACGCAGAGAAAAGATTCAGCCGACAGAATTGCTGCATTTTTATCTTCTCCATTTCTAGCTGTATATTGCAGAAACAATGAGATGAGGAATAAAACAGTAGTAGTTTCTTGGCATTCTCGATGAATTAGTATACTTTTTTTTGTTATAAATTCGAATAATTTTTACATACATCTAAGCATATACTTTGTCGAAACGATGTTATTTCCGTTAGTTCGTTTCTTTCTGTTGAATAGAATAATTATATATGTTCTTAAAGTGAAACTTATCAATCAAGAATTGAGATATTAAAACTGAATTTTGTATAATAACAAAAAGTTGGATCTTCAATAATGATATGAATGGACTGAAGCATAATTTTACAAAGTATTTATAAAACAAGAGAAGAGTTGTGGAATCATCTTCAACATCGGACAACCAAAATGTACCGTGCTAAAACTATTCGTATCCGTGAAAATTGTGAACATATTCTTCTTTATAGTCGGAGATAGACGATAGTTGTTTAGAAAACAAGCAAAAGCACCGCCTATACTTTTCGTCTAAACTAATTTATATATACATTTATTTTATAACACTTCTTGCTAAGTAGTATTCGGAGATGTGATATTATTATTACGGTCAGCTATTTCATAACGTATATGTATTACTTATTTTAAATTCGTAAATGAATATAATTTCAGTTTAATTTGCGATTAAACATCCTTGTTGTAGAATCGAGGTACCATGATTTTTAAATAATATAGAGTAACATTAGCCACGAAATTATATTTACGTTGAACGAAGTTTATTTCATTTCTATGATATACCTGTGCAGGTGCGAATTATTCACGATTCATCCGTTTTACAGTACATTCGATGGATCTACATTGATCTCCCAAACGATTGAAATGTACTAATATTGTTTAAAGATCTTGGTAAATATTGACTTAATGTAAAAAACTAAGAAATTAAGGAAGATAAGCATTATAAGGTAGTCATAACATGTTGTTGGTTGCATAAGTTGTTACATATGTTACTTTAAATACTGAATCAAATGTCTAGAAAACAAAATGCGAAGAGCAAATTGTCTGCTGCATGTGCTCTATAGACTGCGCATCAATTACTGCTTTAAAATATTTGCTTAGGACATAGTATATAATTTAATAAACAAAAAAAAGGGCAATTATAATTATCGTAACATGTACGATCGCGGAATCTTCATTACATTTCATGTCCAGGCAATGATCCTTTAAAGTTGTTTCTCAAGTACGTGTTCTTTATGGGATGCTAATATAAGACAATAATATCAACAATTAAAGAGTTATAAAAAAAAACCATAATTCATAATATTTTTGTCCCGATGATATTTCACGAAAACACTTTTGTTTGTTCGACATTCGTATGTATATTTGAATAATATGTATGTTTGCGTTTCTTCTGTTACGATACTATGTCCTATGTACTGTTTGTAATGTATCCTATTTTATGTACTGAATGATGCATCCTATTTAAAAATACAAGCCCTACTGGATTAAGGGATGTTTTACAAGCATGTTACACGTGTAGGGCGATGCTGACGGGCATAATAAAACAATGCTAATGTTATCGAATACAATGTTCCTTGCAAAGTGCACGCAGGATAGGGAGATAGTGTATACAAACACGAGAAACATTAAATCTATTAATAGTTATGTTACAATTTCAAGCGGTGGTGACTTTAATGGATTACGTGTTAATCGAACGATTGAAATTGATTTTTTCCGTTTGCAATTTTTCTGCAGTTGTCACGCTCAAATATATGTTCAGTTAACGTATAACACATACACACACACATGGTCACAAACGATAATAGCGGGAAGTTTTTCATTTTTGTGTTCGACGAACATGCCGATACGAGGAAGAGGAAGGAACGGTTTACTTTTTTGTAAATCGCACTAGATAATGTTTTCTGGTTTTATACTACACTCTGTGTAATATCAATTTTGTAAATCTAACTATTGCTTTAAGTATATATCGTGTACAGTAAAAATCTACATCTTAAGTGTATTATTTTTTATGTGTAAATAACTGGCACGAAAGGACAGATTTATGTTGTAAAAAGAAAGAAACATAGTAAAGTATTAGTACATTGTACACCATTCAAAAAAAAAACAAATTCTGTAAACTGCTTTTTTTCTGTAGAACTTCCTTTATAGTAGTATTGCGATGGTACTACACTTTTCTCCACTTCGTTCCCAACAAAAAGTGTACTCATATCTTTACATTCTCATTTGTACCGGAAATTGCTATAATTGTTATACTGTCTCGCTTCCTTGAATCCGGCGAAAATTTATACATATTCTTGGAAGAAAAAAAGTAATCATTGATCACGTGTTAAAAGAGAAACTGTTACATATAGTCGTTACTTATAGTTCAATCTGAATAAGAAGGGACCACAATACAATATGTTAGAAGGAATTTATCATTTGCACATTCTAATGTGTTTTAGAGGATTACTTGCCTTTGAATCGGTATACTTTTTTAAATTGTTCTGAAGCATTAAGACAGGAAATTAACACAGGTACATTCTAGTGATATCATAAACCAGAAATTTTAATTTCTTAAATTACGATTGTACATTCAGTGTGGTAATCTTCTAATGCATATCTTTAAATTGTCATGTTTTATTTAGATAGAGCTTCCAGCTTAGCACTTTTACGTCAGGATTTAATTAAATATGTGGAAGAACAATTAAATGTTGCTTCAGTATTTAAATGCACATGTCGTCTGAAGTTGTGCTTTTAATATAACTAAATACACAGGTTTGGAACAAAATTGTTATAGCATTCTGCAATCTATCAGAATTACGATATCGTATTCATATTCTCATTAATAATTCCATAATCCATAATGAACGTACACTATTTCTCAAACCAAGGTTCAGAAATATCCAATTCGCATTGATATGTGCATTGATATAAAGGAAAAGTTATATTTTATCCTTTCGTTTCAATTGTATTTACGTTCTTGTTACCCATCAGTATTGATTAGGTTTATGTATATGTGTAATAATTATATATATATATATATGTATATATATATATATACATATATTTCAAGTCGTGCACGGATGTTAGTTAGAAACTGGTTTAAAAGATACAGTCACTCGTGAACAGTATGTACTCTTAAAAAAACAAGACTATTTACAAAATTATTGTCATAATAGAAGAAAGGTACGAAATGAATACAAGCTTCTTCTTTCTAGACAGGCAATATATTTGTAAGGGAGAATGGAACGTTATCGTTTATTAACCAACAGTTATTCCCACAAATAAAAGAAATGTTGACGACACATCGTGGATAGAAATGAGAAAAATTTGGTAATGTTTGTACTTACGGAAATGGAATGATTACTCTTGCTGCAAACAAAAGTACGCTGCGAAATGTTATTACAGTTTTAATAATTTTGTTATCCGGCGCGTGAGCTTTTCTAAGCTACCGAGATTCAAATATTTCCACCGGTTACGAAATTGTTCACGTATCAAACATTTCTTACTAGTTTTTAAGTTAATAAAATTAATGCAGCATACCGTTGTATTTTTCAAAGGGGCATTATTATTTCAACCCGTGATTTTCCTTATCCTTTCTATGGATTTGTATATGCTACTGACTCAGGGACATAATACAATATTCCAGATAAATGTATATAATTTTTTTAATTCTTAATATTTTACATTTCATTGTTTGATTATTCACATAATAATCTTGTAACAAAAATACATTAATTTACTAATATTATTTTGTGATCGCACTTCAAACATTATTCGATCATTTGAGCGCGATTAGCTTATATCAATAGAAATTATGCTATTCTCTCCTTCTCGTCTTTTTTTCAATTGTATATTATATTTATAATTCACTGCTAAATTCATAACAAAAACAGTAATAATGACAATTTATAATTGATTCTAGTTAAAATTTTAGTTAAAACTGTAATCTTTTCGCAAGCGATGCGCCATCCATTGATTCAAGTAATTTTCTTTTTAAATTAGGCTTTTCTTCTGGTTGCCGTTTCACAGATGTAGGAAGAGGCAATCTAGGTCCAGGAGTTGGTGCTGGTTTGTTGCTAAAGTATGGCATCTGGAGAGCTTGGTCGCATGTACATCTTTCTAATGGATTTACGTTTAAAAGACTAGCAATTAAATCTAAGAGATCATCGCCAGCTGCAGTGAATATGTGTTTCAATGGCGTTCCAGGAAATGGTTTAAATTGAATGAAATCTGGTAATTCTGTCATTCCTGGCCATGTTTCTTCAGTGGGCGTACCTAATGTCTAAAAATTACAAGAACATACATTAAAACGAATTTGGAATAACATATACTTTTGTTAAGAGACAGATTTATACATAAAACAATACCTGAAATATCCTAGTGAGTTGATCCAAATCAGATTCTCCAGGTAAAAATGGTACTCTTAACAAAAGTTCTGCTAATATACATCCAACGGCCCACATATCTATTCCAGTTCCGTAAAGCCTTGCTCCATACAATAACTCAGGTGATCTATACCATCTGGTCACCACCTGATGGGTGTTTATTCTATTTGGTGAACCAAAAAATTTAGCAAGCCCAAAGTCACCAATCTTTAATACACCTTCTCCATTGACAAGTAAATTATTTGGCTTTAAATCTCTATGAAGAATCCAGTTATAATGCAGGTAGTCCAGACCTTGCAAAGTCTGAATCATATATGCTTTAATATTCGCAGAAGATAACACAATGTTATTATCCTTTATTATTATTTCCAAATCTGTGTCCATAAAATCAAATACTAGGGACACATTTGACTTATGGCCAAAAACATCTAAAATAAAAGTACATTTGTAAAGCGAAACAGTAGTATTTCATACAGGATGATGCACGTAAAAGTAGTCTTATAAAATATCTCCTACAATCCATCACAAATCTACTCTAATTAGTATACTGTTAATCATTGACATATTCAATGCATACCTAGCAGTCCAATCACATTATCGTGGTTTAGTTCTTGTAACAATTTAATTTCTCTCAGAGCTGTTCTGTTTATTCCATCTCTAGCTTCTGCGCGGCTTCCAACTTTAATCTACAATTACAATAATCAAACAATATGTCATTTAACAGTATAAATTGATACATTGTACATAGTAAGCATCTGTGTATACCTTTTTCACAGCAACAATTTTTGATGTTTCGACATCTTTGGCTTTGTAAACAGTAGCGAACTAAAATAATAAATATTCATATATATATATATGCATGTACAATACCAAAAGATTAATTAAACAACTACTAACCTGTCCTTCTCCCAAAAAATCAATTTTCTCGTATCTTCGTAATTTTTCAGTCATGTTCTCAGTGTGTTTAATTTTCGAACCTTCAATCAAATGCAGATTATTTATTTAAAATAATATTACAGAATCAATTGCTTCATGCACACGTAAACAACTAAATCTCGTCGAGCGTCATTGTATTCGACAGTTTACACGTGCTCTACACGTTTTCTAAAACATGATATCGAAGGTGCATTTACCTAATTAATTTTAATAATTATATACTTCACTAAAGTCCAAAACCACCAAATACAATAATCCACTTTCAGGTCCTGTCGTTCATTGATAACTTATTCCTTTTTAAACTTAATGAATGCACAACGGTAAATACACGAAGCCCAAACGCATCATGTATTAAATTTTCTTGAATATGTACGCAGATTACATGTAGCAACAAACATTGCTTGTAATCGGTTTTATTGACACTTATTTTTAAAATGCAGCAAAATTCCTATTACAGTAATCTCTCAATTCAAGAACCATATCCGGGGGCACCGAGGCTCTTGAATTGAGAGAATACAGTGAATTGCTATGCTCTGATTGGTTGATGATTCGCAGCTGAACAGTGCTGCTCCCATAGTCAATGACAAAGAAAGAAATTAGCGAGTGAGCAAGACAAGCATAACCATATGCCAAACGAGTTACATGGAGTCGCACTAACACGAATGCATCACTCTTCTCGCGCTTGCGTACGTCTGGTGCTCCTTCTGAAACACGCGGCGCGATATTCAACTTATACTTTTTACTTCATAGGATTCTTAATCAATGCACATTGAGATATGTTTCGAATGTATGTGTTTGTAGGCAATATTTCGACAAGTTGAACAGAATAAGGTCCAGCTAATTATTGCATTGTCCTGAATGTTAGCGCGAGAGAATGAAAGAATGTTGCAAATGAATAGTTCATATATTCTGGTCTCTAGTATGAATAAATTTGACTATAGAGATTTCAATACTATCTTCGCAAACAGTGTTTGTTCCATGAAAAGAGTTGTTTAGAAGAGCTGTTTAAAAAAATGAAAATTTATTGGCGATAGATCGGGTGAGTAGGGTGGATGTTGCAAAATTTCATACTTTTTGATTCATTTAATTCTGAAAATGTTTCTTGCGATGTAATACAGAATTTGCAAAGAATTCTTTTTGGCAAAATATGACGCTGGCAATATACAATAATAACACACTTAACTATGCTGAGCATAGTTAACTTATCATCATATTATATACATATTATATACTTATTATCATACATCAGCAAATGGTAACTTAAAGATGCTGATATATCAGCATCTTTTTCGAAAGAGGAAGGTTTAAATGCAGTGCGCGAATATCAGACTTCACAAATCTGATTTGATAATGCCACTGGCAATCTACTGGCAATTAGCCAATCACACCGAAGAAAACGGATAAGCTCCGTCATGGATCGATGACAGTTTGAATATCGGCAATGTTTGGAAACTCTGTCCAGGGTTCGTGCAGCGCCAATTAATAAATAGCAAAATGCTGAAACTGCTAGTCAAAATAGAATTTTTAGATTTCACCACAAGAGGCGTCACTGTTTGGCTAGAAGTTTTAACGTTTTGCCATCTACTAATTGGCGCTGTATGGAACCTGACCAGAGCTTCTAGATTTCGTTACAAGAAGTGCTATTATCGCCGAACTGACAATTGATTCTTGCCGAATTTTACACTGTATCTTATGTGTAGTGCGGCACAAATCATCCGTTCGCAGTATTTGCTACAATAAATAAACTATTTTACAAGATATACATTGTAATATAGATATAACAGAGACAAAATGCTGAAACTGCTAGGCAAAATCAAATGTAGGTAATTTGTCTAGCAATTTCAGCGTTTCATGGAAACCTCAGAAAATGATTTTTGCCAGAATTTGCATTGCATTGCATGGCAAAAACGGCAAAAATTAATTGTGTTTAGAGTTGTATACAGTAATCAAATTCCAGGATATGTAATTGGATGCCGGCCCAATTAAATGAATATCGGAGACATTCATGACATCATTTAGAATTCAAACGCAGTTTATTCAGTAACGACTTAGTGACCACGGACGAAATAATAGGGACATTGACTTTGTTATTAATTATTAGAAATGTTTATTCTAATATTTAATATTTTGATAAGCTGCCTAACATTATCATACGGTGCAAAAAACATAGTATTAATAATCGCTGATGATTTAGATATAGTTCTCGATGGAATGGTAATTATGAATGTGGGAAGATAACATCGTTTAAATATAACAATGATTATATTAATTTTTAGGTTCCACTGAAAAATACTGTAGACTTAATTGGAAGGAGGGGCGCATCATTTTCAAATTGTGTAAGTTAATAGAACATACAATTTAACTTTATATTATTATAAATTAAATAAACTTTTTATTAAAAGTTGACAATGATGATTTATGGTAATACTTTTTACAGTTTGTTGCTTCTCCAATTTGTTGCCCAAATAGGGCTTCCATTCTAACTGGTAAATATCAGCATAATCACTTAGTAGTAAATAATACTATTGATGGTGGGTGTAATAGTATTAAATGGCAAGAACTTCAAGAACCAAATACATTTGCTGCATATTTAAATCAACAAGCGTCGTATGCAACTTTCTATGCTGGAAAGTATTTGAATAAGGTAATCGTATATGATAAAGTAAAAATTTAAAACTAAAATAATTTCTGAAATTTTTTATTAATGAGCAACATTATTAAAGTATGGGAATACAAATGTTGGCGGAGCAAGTCATGTACCGATAGGATGGGACTGGTGGGCTGGTCTTATTGGGAATTCAAAATACTACAATTATTCTATGTCCATCAATGGAACTGTACAGAAATTTAACTCTACAGTATTCGATTATCTCACTGATTTAATTGTAAGTTTAAATTTGCCTATGTTAACTTGCTGTTTTTTCCTTGATTATATATTTTTAATTGAAGTTTTTTTAGACTGAATTCACAATGTCTTTCATTAAAACTCGCAAAGCAGATGGTCAACCTTTTCTTGCAGTTCTGGCACCTCCAGCACCTCATGCACCCTTCACACCAGCAGTAAGACACTATGGCATATACAATGGCACAAAGGCGAAAAGAACACCTAATTTTAACAAACTCACAGAAATGGTATGTTACACTTTATTTTCTATGTTCTCGTGCTGCTGTAGACTACTACTAACACTATCGTAAATTAGAATAAGCATTGGTTAGCGAGGAGAGGTCCATCTCCGCTACCGGATGAGGTATTACCTAAATTAGATGAGATCTATAGTCGTAGGTGGGAAACATTGTTAGCTCTTGATGACCTTGTAACAAATGTATATCAAACTCTAAAGTCTGAGGGTCTTTTAGATGATACTTACATCATATTTACATCTGATAATGGTTACCATATTGGTAATTATGTTTGTGTTCAACATACAAGAAAATACAAGGTGCAAATGTAGCCTACTTTATACAATATCAGTTTTATAGGCCAGTTTAGCATGCCTATGGACAAACGTCAGCCATACGAGACAGATATCCGAGTTCCATTATTAATAAGAGGTCCTGGAATTGAACCATCAAAAATTTCTGCACCAGTCAGTAGCGTCGATTTGTTTGCTACAATTTTGGAAATAGCTGGAGTGCAAAGACCATCTGACGGAACTTCTTTGTTGAAAAAGACACTGCCAGAAGATAGAACCCTGTTAATAGAGTATAGAGGGGAGAAATCTGAAGGAGTTCCATCCTCAGGTTGTCCAAGCGATAGCGATATCAATCTATCAGTAAGTTTTATACATAGAGAGATGAACTATAACGAGGTGTCGCTGGCGACTCCTTCTCCTCTTCGTCTGCTTCACAAACTAGGGAAATCCATCTTCTCGATATCTAGTGCAGACGAGGGATCTGACCGACCCAGAGTCCGACTGATGCGGTTCTCGGAGGGGAAGGAGTTCGACACCCCAGAATTATAAAATAAGAATGAATTTATTAAAATTTGTAATGTTTATAGTACTGTATGAAAGACATGGCATGCAAATGTCAGGATGCAGCTAATAACACGTTTAGTTGCATACGACGCGTTTCGCGAAAATTCAATAACATTTTCTGCGTTTTCGAGGATGATCAGGTATCAAGGGGTAACATATTATTACACACTTTATACGATTAAATGTATTATTGACACTGGTTCCGTTTTTTCCAGCATTATGTTGAAGCATATAATATCACTACAGATAATTATCAAATGGAAAATATTGGATACAGTATGAAACGTAATCATCGATACCGATTTAGAAAGCTGTTAAAAAGGATGTCCATATGCAAAAATGAGGATTGCGTTTTCACACTTCCGAAAAGCATTTATATTTAGATTTGGGTACAGTACAAAAAGTACAAATGATAGTGATTTAAAATGTAATATGTGTATTTGTAGTTGTGTGGAATTATTATTATTTTTACATACGTGTTGTATCTATACGTATCTTTTCGTAAATAAAATGTAATTAATAACTGATAATTCGTTTTAAATTTTACTGCATATACTTGTATATATACATATAATTAGACGGTATCAGCGCCACGTGATTCTTGCTGGATTTAATACTGTATTCTATGGACGATGCGATACGAATCATCTGTTCGCGGTATTTCCAATAATGAATTAACTATTTTGCACTGTATAGATGTAAAAAGGGTAAAACGATAAATTGCTACCCAAAATCAATTGTTGGTAATTTGTTTAGCAATTTGAACGTTTTATGGAGGCTTGAAATCGCTCGAAACTCAGAAAATTAATCTTTGTCAGATTTTGCATTGTACCATATGGGAAAAGTGGTAACAATTATTTGTGTTTAGTAATAAGTTGTCGAAGATATTCATGACGCTATTTTTGCGATGTAGTTTATTTAGTAGCTACCCCATACGAAGTAGCAGGAACACTTGTCGCTTGTAGCTTGTTTATAAGCTACTTAGCATTATCATAGGGTACATAAAAACATTGTATTAATCATCGGGGATGATTTAGATATATTTCTCAATGGAATAGTAACCATGAATTTGAAAATAAAACAGCGGTTAAATATAACAATAATTATATTAATTAACGTATTAAGAGTAACACAATATTACACACTTTACACGATCAAATACATTATTAACACTCGTTTCGTTTCTTCCAGCATTATATTAACAGAATATTATCACAGTTAATTATCAGATGCTAAATATTGGTAACACCGTGGAAGGTAATCGTCGACACTGATTTACAAAAAGCTGATAAAAAGAATATCTATATGGAAAAAATGAAGACTGCGTTTTCACACTTTCGAAAAGGATTTTAAATTTCCGTACAGTACAAAGTACGGGTGGCAGTGATTTTACAGGTGGCATGTATGTTCGTAGGATACATGGCACTGTTATTTTTATATACGTGTTGTATACGTTTATCGTTTTATAATTATGATGGTATTACTAATTGATCGGCATTCGTTTGTTGACAAATTCTCATCTTACACTTACTGCGCCCGCGACGGCATAAAGATACATACCATTAAAAGTTGGGAACGCCGGCGGCCGTCTTACTTCGAATTACTGCATTTATGGAAATCGCGAGCGAAGAATACGCCGCGAATCTGGATATAAGAATAACTCGTCTTGCTTCCCGAGTACCTCGGGCAAACTGTTTTCTTAGCAAATATTTTTATTAAAGCCCCGCGGTTCGAATATCTGAATAGGAATCGCGCCATTCGGCGGGGGACGACGGGGGTGTAGAGGGGCCGAAGGGGGAGGCGGCAGAGAAAAAGAAAACGAACAAAAATAGAACGCAGGAACGGGCTTCTAGAATGTCCATAAATTTAATCTATTAAAACGTTTTGAATGATTTAACGATTTAAGATAACACATCGAAGTACAGCGTAACAAAGAAAAAATAATAACTATTGGATCGATCGGAACGCTTTCTCCACGCGTCGTTTGCGTCACAACGCGCGAACCGATGTTGTAATATGTTAAGCGGAGTTGCAACGTGTACAGAGATTATCGAAAAAATGGTGGATCGAATGATTTATAATGCAGACGGCTCTTATATCATTTTTTTTTATCGGAATCGGTGAAACGAGAACTATTTAATTCGTTGATTTAAAAAGCACATCGATTCGACACGCAGAGACTAACGTAAACGTAATTATTCGGCCGATGTATAAATGTGGCGGTTAATTACAAAAAATACCTGTGATAAATTTCGAATATTTTAAAAATAAAGGAGCGCGAATCCGTGTTTTCGCTGTTTATAATTATTAATAAATTTATCAATTAATATTAACTATAGATTCTGTGAAAATAACGCTGCTTTCACATTCGATCGTATGAAAATTATTTACGTTTTTTTAGATAAACATTTGCGACTGCTCGCGTACGAGACATTTATTTGTCGTACGTTTTGTTCGCGAAACTCGAGTCTAAAAATTCGTACACCTCCGTGTACAGATTAATTCGAACCGCAACCTTTCGGAACCAAAACAGCGAAACGTTGAGGGTAGCTATAAAATGGCTCGATTCGGCTCCATTCAGTAGCAAGGACCGTAAGAGACATCCTTTCACGGTGCATGAAAGAACGTCGAAATGTTTGTACACTCCATGTTACTCGCTCTATAGGCTGCTTAATCGTTTGCACAGATGGTATTTCGGGATAGCACAACGCTTAGAAAATTCTGCAAGCGAAATCTTGCTAATCTGGACCACGTTCGCAGAATTTACAAAACAGCGTAATCTTAAATATATTTTTCAAACGAAATAAGTTTTTCCGAAACTCTGCGTGCACAGACAAATTTCTCACCGCAAACGAATGTTTGTTCGTGCTATTAACAATTTTTGAGTTATTCAATATGATGTAATTAAATGTTATACATCAACTTCGAGGTTTGTTTTCATCTCTTCGATACGAACTATTTTCTTCTGTAATTACTTCCTTAATACTCGAATTATCAAACCGGACAAAAATTACAGTATTTAAAATTTTTTCTTTTACAGCTCTTAACATTATAAAAATGTTTTTGTGAGAAATCCTCAGACAATATCTTCTTCGTTTAAGTATATATTATAATAAAATTATTATAGAGTCTAAATAAAAATAGAATCTTGTCAATGTTATAAAACATTTTGCATTGGTCGTGTTTAGAGCTCGGTAGTTCTAGCGTTAAAACGCTTCTTTTTATAATAGCATATAAATAATCTGTTCAAGGCAAATAGCACACGATATACGTGTACGCAAACAATTCGGTGAACTGCAAAATAAGGAACTCAATTTGATAAAGTTTGGCTTACAGGAAACTAAAACAGTATTCCTCCAAGCCTGTGGAATTTAATAAACGAATCTTAATGAAGATTCTCCTCGAAGTAAGAACTTCAACGAAGAAATTTGTTTTCGTAAGTCGTCCGCTCTCCGGTTCTGCAGGAAATCCGACATAAGTTACCGGATAAATATGCAATTTAACCAGAGCCATCTCCGATTTCAACGCCTTGAAATATTTGCCGGTCGCCGCGAAAAGAAAAAAGAATTCGCCCGAAGAGAGCGTAAACGCGCGAGGGGACGTTAACGAGGCGATATCTAAACTGTGTATCGCGCTTTTTGTTCCATTGATAAATAACAGCGGAATGAGAACGATGTTTAATTTAAAAACTGCAACGCAGGTATTTTATAGAAATTACGAGCACGTTACTATTTCAATTTCATAAATAATACACTAGAAATCAATTCAACTTCGTTGTCGAATTCGCAATTTTTTCCAATCAAGTTTCTCATATTCGCCGGCAAAAATTTAATAACTTTTATTGTAATATACTGCGGATGGTTCCGATGACCCCGAAAATACCCCTAACTACTCTATCCGTCGACCCCCTTCCTTGTTATTCCAACGCTACCCCGTTTCAACCCTTAGCGATCCAAGGTTAATTCCAAACAGGATGGCGTTCAATTTGCCTCGATTACAATGCCTCGTCGTTTAACCAATACATGTACAATTGTTCAACCTGCAGAATCGTTATCTACTATTCTTATCTTGCGATCGAAGGTGAATTTAATTTTACTCTTTCTGTTATTCTTATTGATAGACCGCAGATTTTATGCATCCATAACGATCGACGCTATTTTAGACACCGAATAAAATAGACACTATTATTTGAGCCGTTTATTTTGAAAGCGGCATAAGTCACTTTGTTTTTAAGTCGATATATTTAAGGGTTTGCGTTTTAACACGTTTAAAAATATGGATGCTAACTTTCGAGAAGATTTACTTGTATTTGTTATCTCAGGATACTGATATTTTTCTCAGTATAAATGATTTCGTATAAACATTAAAAAATCACTACTTTTCGTTACGGTAAAGTGACTTATGCCACTTTCAAAATAAACGGCTCATTTTATAGCGTTTATGAGAAAAATCAGAAAACGAAATGAAAAACCCTGAATAGATTCGGAGAGTTTCAAAATACTGTTGCACATTACTATCGACCTGTTGAAATTATCTCTTGTAATATTAACACTATACCGTCCGCAGATCTTAGATATGATTCTTTCGTTTGACGCCGACATAATAGCTTGGAAATTTTAGATTTTAACAAAAATTTCGCAGATGGCGGTAATATAAATTCCTAAAATTAAGATATGAGCCGTTTATTTTGAAAGTGGCCTAAGTCCATTTATTTGAAAATCCAGATATTTAAGGTTTTTACGTTTTAATAAATTTAAAAATATTGCTAATTGATAACATGGTGGTATAATGGTTTTGTGTTCCTAAGGGTCACTGCGTTCTTTCAGCTTTGCTGACATGAAATTATATGTATTACGTAGAAATGTGAATATTAAAATAGCTAGCTCGGTGTGTTTTTGAAAAATGACTTAGGCCACTTTCAAAATAAACGGCTCATAGGTCGTCCAAGAATTTTCGTACTTAATTCTTAGTTAACACGTTGACTGCCGCGTCACCCGTAATTCGGGTGACGCTGATTTGACTACTTACAAAGGATTTCCGAAAATATTTCGACAAATATTCTACAAGAGGTAATGAAACTATTGAATCCTTATAAAAATGGTTTATTAAAAAAATTATTCGCAGTGTATAACATTAAAACATTCTCTGCAAAGTTGAGGTTGATCAGGACAGCTTGGACAAAAAGTTGTTTGTTTTTTCAGATATGCTCGTGCCTCTGATTGGTCCATTTCGTATCTTTTATTTGAACTGTAGCTTCCTCGGTATCATCAACATTTCTTTCTTCTTCCATGACCAATTCTCGTAAAATCTCGTCAATAGTATCTTCATAACATTCATTATCACTCAGATTATATTTATCAGTACCCAAATCAGAATCTGACGATGTAATTTTATTTATGCTTCTCCTTCCGGGCAATCCGATTTTCATTATTGAACAAAAATAAGGACAGAGATTTTAAGTTATACCATTCGGTACTCGGCAAAGATTCCAACTGTTCATGCAGGAACAGAAACAGATATGAATTAACAG